GAGGAGGACCAGCGAGTACGCCTCCTTTCCATCTCGTCCGGCCCGGCCAGACTCTTGGGCGAAGTCGACTAAAGACGACGGCTTATTGATGTGTATAACTAGACGAACGTGGGCATAGTCGAAGCCGGCGCTTAGTGCAGACGTGGCCACGATATACGGCTAGTCCGAGGAGGCAAGCCACGTTCTCAGCAGCTCCTCCTTCTGCTCAGCCGTGCCTACGTCGGCTGTGTACTAGGAGCAGCAGAGCAGCTCAGCTAGCGTAGCAGCATCTTCCTTTGTCCGCACATACAAGATGATCTTGTCTCGAGCCCGATCCAAGAGCCGGCTATTCTCCCACGCGTCCCGAGCCCTCCGCGCGCCCTCCTCTAGAAGAGTCCCTAGCCTAGTGGCCCGCTGTACCATATAGAAGAGGTTCCGCCGGTTCGTCGATGCCCGGATCACTTTAGGATTCACTAAGTTGTTCTGCTCTTCAAACGTGGCCTGTATTGTCGGTGGTAGAGTGGCTATTAAGTAAACAAACTGCGTACGGACGTTGCGGATCAAGGCGAGGTCAACCATAGCCTAGCGATAGTCGGACGCTGTGATGGTCAAGTAAGCCTCGTCAAACACAATGCGGCCGAGGTCTTGCGTAGCCGCGAGCTTGTGGGCATAAGTCCGAAACTGTTCCGTACATGCTGCTTCAACTGTGACAAACACCAAGGGTGCATCTTGCTGCTCGCCAGGCGCCCACACCAAGTGATCGATCCCCAACTCTCGGACTCGGCGGAGGAGGTCCCCTCGCAGAGACACAAGGGGCAAGACTAAGATCGTCACCCTAGCATCAGGGAGGATGCAGGGTAGTATGAACAGCAGGCTCTTCCCCTCGCCAGTAGCTATGATAACCACCACCTGCTTAGTCTATGACATGACAGTAGTCACAGCCCGTTCCTGGGCTGCTAACCTCCATTGCAGCGTGTCATCCTAGTACAGCTTTCTGGCGCTCTTTAGTAGAGCTATAGCTGACCACTTCTTCCGTGGCCGGTAGACCCCCATAGCGATCTTCTTGAGTATTTGCGGACCACCAATGTCTTCACCATCCCGCTTCCTCTTCCCAGCAAGTCCAAGCAGCTGGTCAAGCCCCCACAAGTCCTTCCACAGAGTTGAAGCACGCAGATTCCGGCGGATAAGGCCATCCCATACATTCCCAAAGTTAGCATTATGTTGGTTTGCATATGCC